ACACACACACACACATATATATATATATATATGTGTGTGTGTGTAGATATATATACACACATATATGTATGTATAGATATGTATATATAATTTACATATATGTATGTATAGAGCGTAAAACTATACATAGAACTATAATAGGTATTATTATAATTAGAAAGAAATTACATAAAACTATACATTATTAATTTCCTATTTTACTTGTAATTTTCTTATTATTTTTCTTTTTCTTTAGTACTTTCGATACTCACTGTTAAATGAGTTGTATATCTGAACTTTTGTTGTATTTTAAAATAAATTTATGCTTTTGCAATATTAAATATGTGGCTATCGCAGTTCTGTTTTAAACAGTTTTACTAAACAATGACAGAATGATCATTTTTAAAAAACAGCTGCTTCACAGCTATTTTTATATAGTTGCAACAAGCAGACAGTTAGCTTCCCCACAGCAGCTTCCCAAGACAGCACAGTTGTAGCTAAAAAGCTGCAGTTACCTCAAACACTCGTAATATTTTGAGAAAGTATCAGTTGCCCCTATTTTAAGATTCACTATAAATGAAAATATATCTCAAGCTTAAGGAATTTTATGACGCAAAATATTAATCTTCAAGAAAATATGAGATACAACTCCTCCTTTGGTGTTTGCACTTGCCTTCTTGTAGGGGTCATGACCCAAAAAAAAGTCTTATCAATACATTTGAATATATCAACTTTGAGTTGGAGATATTAATGATGGCCTATGGGTTTAACAGTATCGAAAATGGGTTAAAAAGATGATCATTGCCACTGACAGGTAGGGTGGCGGTAGTTGGACGGTGATATTGGTTTAGCGATATCGTCACTGTGGCAAGGTTATTGATATTGAAGTGAATTTATTATATTGTTGGGTTGACATGTTCCCCAAGTGATCTAGGCTAGGGGTGTAAACGAACCGAACACGAACAAATAGAGCTTGGGTTCGTGTTCGGTTCGTTTGAAATTTAGTTTGTTTGAAAAAAACTCGTGTTTGAAATTGTTCGTGTTCGTTTCTTAACGAACGAGCCGAACACGAGCTGTTCGTGAACG